TGGTTCGCACTATAGGTAAGATTAACGGTTATTTTTCTGGAGGTTACAACGTTGCAGTTTTCCTTTGTTATTGGATTCCAAAATTCAGTTCCAAAAGAAACATGTTATTTTAAATTTTTTTATTTTTTTATTAAAAATCACAATGATGATGATAGTAGAAATAGTGATGATAAATAATGATTGAGTTTATTAAGAAAAATAATTCTTGGCATTGGTAAACACAATCATCAACAAAAAAACATAAATATATTGGTACTTCTATTCCATGCGGAGAATATTTGCCAAAGCGGGTGCTATCATAAACGAGCGAAGAACTAAACTTAGTAAAGAGCATACGCAAAAAAATAATTTTACGTGTTAATTAATTTTTAAATGAAAATTAGCTTCTTAAATATTTTGTTTTTTTTTGGTATATCATTTTTAGTTTACCAATTTTTGGAATTATTTTTTTAATAAACTAATTTATTGTTTATTATCACTATTTCTACCATAATCAACATTGCGAATTTTTAATGATAAATTTAAAAAGTAACATGTTACTTTTGGAACCGCATTTGGAAACCTAATATCAAAGTGAAACTACAACGTTGTTACCGTTGTTAAAAATAACCGTTAGTACACCTCTAATATAAGCTTCCCCTCCACCGCTGCTGCTTCCCTCACCACTCGACTGCAAGCGCGCGGTTGGCTGGGTTTCGTGAAATTTATGACGGTTTTTAGCATTCAACCAGTCATCTGGAGGTGCACAGTAGACAATTTAAAAACTATTTTTCAAATTATTATCAGACTTACGATAATGCATGCAGGCCTGTGGAAAAAAAACGTACTGCAAACTTTGAATCGAGATTTAGAAAAAACTAATAATCCAGCACCCGCCTTTGGCACATATAAAACACATTAAAACCCGTACCTTCCCGTAGCGGTACAGCTTAAGAAATGACGGAGCTATGAATTTTCGAAAAAACGTTAATATCTACAACTTTTGTTGAATGTTGAAAAAAACGCACTGGAAACTTTGAATAGCGATTTTGAGAAAGCTAATAATGCGACAGCACTCGCCTTTGGCACATATAAAGAACATTATGATCTCTATTTTCGCTCGAAATTTTTGCGCTTCAGCTCAAAAGTGATAGAGCTATAAATTTTCGATTAAACGCATAATTTTTCGGTTTTTTCCTAAATTTCTTAGAGCCCCAATTATCCGATTTAGGCGTTCGATCTCTCATCTTAATGTAGATATTTTCAGTCCGATTCAATCATTATAGTTTCAAAGTTGTAAGCAAAAAGACAAAAATAGCGTTTTTTGCAATAAATTGTTAATAACTAACATATGGACCGGAAATGCGAGTGAAAAACAGATACTTTTTTATATGCTCATTATCTCTTATATCATCACACAATTGGTTGGTTACTAGCCTTTCTGTCACGATAAAGCAGTTTTAAATATCAATAGCTTGGCCTATTAGAATAAAATGCTTTTAAACTTAGATAAATAATATAATTAATTATAATCCGTGAAATTTGCGGTTCTCTATCTATCACAATTAGTTGGCGAATCATGTCGGGTAAATTAGGGGACACTTCATATCAGCAACCCTATATGTAACGCATACATAAACAGGCTATATGTATAATTATTGTTTCAGTATAGCACTAATGTAAATACATACTTGTAATATAAATAGCTATTAACACGCTGACTAATAAATACTACTTTGAAACGTGAAGATCGGTTCGTAAAAACATTTTTCAAGCCATAGATTGTCGTATCAATCGTTCTGCAGTGTGCGCGGAAATCGTTTAGTTCACACTGCGACGCATGCTCGGCACAATTTAAAATCGGATATTGTGATGATTCGCCCCCAAGAAGGGTGCCCCGCCCTTGAGTTTTCCAGGGATGAACGTAAACAAATACTCAAATAAATGTTTGTAAATTATGGGTGACAATAACACACCTAACATAGGGTTCTGTGATCACATAGGTAATAATTTGTCCGAATTGGGAAAATGGTAAGTCGCCTACTTTTGTTTAGACCATTTTACACCAAAACTTGTTTGTTTTTCAGGCAAGTATGGCTAAACATTATACTCGGCCAGTTCCTCTCGCTAGTCCTTTGCGCCATAAACACGTTGGCACATTACTTAAATTCAGGATCAAGCGAAGTCTTGCCGACTGGCCAATCATTGCCTCACTACATGTTTTTATGTGCCGTTTTTACGAGCTGGTTGGCGTTTAGGCGAGGTGACAAAGGTCTCATTTCCATTATTAGAGCTAGAGGCTGGAGATATGTGCTGCTTTGCATCATTGACGTAGAAGCTAATACTTTGATGAGTACAGCTCATCAGTTTACCACGCTTACCAGCATTCAGGTACAACGCATAATCATTTTGCTTTATTTAAAAATTATCTTTACATAAAACACCAAAAAAAAAACAACAAATACATGTAAATATTTTTCTCTCTTCAACTGTCTGGCTCCAATTGTCTCAAAAAATGTAGATGTATAAAATATGTGAATAATTGATTAAATTGTGATCGGTCTGTCCGCACGACATGTGTTCATGTGACATGTTCGACTTTGCCTTTATTTAGGAAAATGTATGGTTCCATGGCACCACGGGGGCGTTAAAGCCATAAACGACAAAACGGTTGCGTTTCGGTTTTCGTCTGATGAAGTGTTTTATATTCGCCTTTTGTAAACCATTTTTAATAATTTACAATAAAGACATTTATTATTATTATTATTATTTATCTATACTCTATTACATATTACAATTATAAAAGTATGTAATACTTATTATATTTATATTATGTATATACAAGTATATATGTCCGTTATCTAAGTTGATTGAATTCCATTTTTTATATTTCGGGTTATAATGTATGTTTAGTATATACATACTTTTCTATTAAGTGTGTAATAAAGTATATAACTTTTTTCGAGCGCACCACTTACTATTACTACATATACGTGCTGCTCATGATGTCCCTGGAAGCAAAAAATATAACGTTTCTGAGGCGAGTCGCATGGGATCTGCATGAGATATATGTGCGAGACGTGGGACGTCCTAGGGACAACCTGCCAAGGATCATTCCATGCGGGATAACGGGGATCAAAATAGAACGTCCCACCGATCAGTTGGGTTACAAGTTTACCAATGAAAAAATTAGAAAGAGACATGGGATCAATTTTTACACAAGAAATGTATCCTAAACGAAGACAACTAAATCACAAGCGATTTATTTGTTTGATTGATGCAATTTTTTCAAATTGTCAGATTAGGCGTAGTGGCGTTATTGCTCCCAGAAGTTGGGACTTAAATCCTCTGGATTGTTAACATATTTGGTCTCAAATGAGATATAATTTACGACAATTCAGAAATAGCTTACTAATTGCGACGAAGAATATAAATCACTGCTAACGAAATTAGAGGCAATCCCCAACAAGTGGGTCAGTTTCAAAGGTTTCTGGTTTCAAAACGCTATTTACAGATGAAGACCGGGCAGGAAAAGCCGAGGGGATGTCAACTTTTTGTCCAAATTAATCTAATCAGGTCATTTAGTAGAGCAAAATGTATGATTCAGAATAGAAAATCGCCAAGCCAATCATACCTGCCTCCAATGATCTCCAAGAACTATTCATTTATCAAAATGTTCAAATGTACATTCCTGTCGAATCATCTCCATATTGCAAAAGGAAATTGGAAAAGGTCTCTGAAGGAGAAGAAAAAACACAACTGATTCAAGACCTAAAACGTAAATGATGGAGGCAGAACTTCATTTGAAGAAAACCAAAAATGTTATTTAAAGAAGAAATACAGAAAAGTCGCAGCGAAAAGAAGAAAACTTTGAAGCAGTAGTAGTAAACCATGAATGCAGTAGACACCATGAACAACTATTGTTTGTTACCAAGTTCCTTGGTAGTCCAGAATCTAAACTGTTTTATGAAAACTTGCTTGGAACGGACGGACGATGATGATTATCGCCAAATTGATTGAATAATTGAAAAAAGAAATAACGAAATAAGAAAATATAATTTATTACCAGTCAAATAAGTACCCAAAATATAAATTTTCCGTTATTTCTTGATTTTTTAAGAACTTATATTATCAAAAACAAGCTAAACATTTTGCTTGCAATGTTTTGGTTTATTTTAAAAATGTATTTTTCTCAAAAGTAAGTCGGATGGACATGTATGATGTTTTCCCTCGAATCTTCATATATGTAAAGTGTATCAGTATCGATGTATTTGCCACTTTGAACAAATAATTTCAATAATTATTACACATTTTACTTGTTCAATTACTTAAAATAATTTGTTCCATTTTAAGGTTCGCATATTATGAAATCCTAGTGTTGGTTAAATCGATTTTTCTCAAAAAACGTAGCAAAATATTGATATGAAGCTAAATTATTTAATTTATGTAGAAATACTTAGCTTGTTCAACTTCATTAATATAGCTTTTTGATTTTAATAGAAACAATTTAACATATTTTGTAATATTCATGTATACAGGTATGTATACATGTTTTGAAATTATTTGCTAATTGATTATTTTCACTTGGTAAGTCTTTCGATTCATTTTAATGCACATATACAGGGTGTCCTGTAAGCACATTATCAAAAGGACACTGCGATATTCTTTGGATCAAAAGAAGACGATCTGACCCAACTTTTATTAACAAAAAACGTCTGGCTCCTCAGCTATTGATGGTCAAAGTTCTTCAAAAAATTACCTTTTTTGTAATATCCACAGAATGGTACGATGTATTTTAGTGAAACTTGTTGCGAATTTGTTCTTATGTATAACTCATGCTTTAACGTCACAATGTCACAGGTTGAATGACGTCAATTCCTGACGTCTTAATGACGCCAACTTGCTGGTGACTTAATGACGTAATTTTGCTTTCGTCTTAATGGTACCAATTTGCTGACATCTTTATGACGTTAATTGCTGACGTCATTAGTACGGTTTTCAGTTTATCAAATAGTGTTTTATATTTGGCAGCGTTACGTCGGTATTTCGTCTGTAAAATCTACGACTGTGACTAAACTTTGGGGATGTAATAAATAAATAAATATCTCTCAAATGACATATCAATTGACCATAGCTCTGATTAAAACTTTTTAAATGGTAGCCCCGGGTGGCTCTGAAGTCAGAGGGGCCCCTATAAAAATTGTGTAATTTTTGTTCCACGTTTTAACATATATGTTAAAATCTATATCTCTTAAGCGTTTTATGGTATCTTTTTTGGTTCAAAACTTATAGCCCATTCTCCGTTTTCAAAATGCCTCCCTGCATAGAAATTAAAGTAAACGACCAAATTGTTTTTAAAATGTTTTCAAACATCTGTTTAACTGTTAAGATCTTTTAGATGAAAATGTTTTTTGTATGCTAACTACCTATTCATATTTCAAATAATTTTATTTTTGTACTGTATCACATTTTGCATATATCTCCAACATTCTAAATATCAAAATATTATATACTTGTGTGTTTCAGTTACTGGGCTGTGTGGCAATACCTGTAGCTTTAGCCTTGAGCTGTTTGGTGCTTGGAGTTAGATACAGAATGGTGCACATTCTGGCAGTATCTGTATGTTTAATAGGTGTTGGGTGCTTAGTATGGGCTAATATTGAGGATACTAAAATTGATGGCAAGTTTATGAAACAATTCGATATCTAGTTTTACTCAGCTGATTACGGTGATCGGTTAATAGTTTTTTCATCAAACTGATCTGATTTTTTTATAAGCCTTTGAATTTCAGCTGATATCTTTGTGAATGTAACTGAGCAAAATCTCATTTCCAAAAGCCATCAAACACAATGATGCAATATATGTGACATAATTTTGAGGAAAAATATATATTAGTCCTTTGTGAGAAAAATTTTTTTTCACAAAAGTGATTTTTTTCACAAAAAATTTATAATTTTTATTATACTTCCTACATACTTCTAAGCAAATTACGTCGATGTTCAATTACCCTGTATAGTAAATTATATTTGAATTTAGATGATTCTGTCTAGGCATGGGTAACACTGTGTTGAGTTGCGCTATTGAGTTGATGTTGCTCTTTGAGTTGATGAGTTACAACTCATAGCATTTGACCCAGGTCCGGATTAAAGCTTTAACGGGGCCCGGGGCTAGTAGAAATTATGCTCGTTAAAAAAGGTCACCAAGTTTTTGCGGCTAACGTTTTTCCAGTTTGGCAAATATTTTATTGTTTAAATACCTAAAAAAAGTCATCACTTTTTTTACTGCTAACGTTTTTCCAGTTTGGCGATATTTTATTTTTTAACACCTAAAAAGTCACCAGATTTGTTATAAGGAACGTTTTATTCCAAGAAGGTGACTTTGCCGACTGTGCTCGTGCGTTGTGTTGGCGCACCAAGCCATCCCGCCAGCATTGCGCCAACTCTTGAAAATTCACTGAGTTTCCCATGCCTAATTGTGTCACTGCTAGTAGTAAGTAAATTGTGGCTAAACAGCATCAACCTACTAAAGCTAAACAAGTTTAAGGAGAACAAATTAATGTTAGAATCGTGAGATATAATGCCTCGTTGTGGACTGTTCACTCGTTCACTGGATTTCTCACTCGAACCACTTAAATGACCGAGCCAGCGATAGTACAATGATATATTATTTAATAAAATCTGATATTATACAAGTGGCAAAATAGACATTTCAGCTATGTATTAAAATTGTGCTTTAAAATGCTCATTGTAATAGAATGGACATAATTAGTTCATAATTTTTAGGAAAAAACCAACTAGTTGGCGACATGCTATGTTTGGGAGGAGCAGTTTTGTTTGCCATAGTCACTGTTCTGCAGGAATTGTCAGTAAAAAATACTGACATTATTGAGTATTTAGGTTTACTAGGTCTGTTTGGAAGCATCATATGCGGATTGCAGATGTAAGTAATACCTACTTGTGATATAAGCTACCTAGCTTATATAAGCTACCTATAGTACTAGTGATATAAGCTACCTATAGTCACCTTGATAAATATTGCAGTAAAAGTTTACTTAGAAGGCTTAGATTGAGTCGCAAAATATTCTGTGTGCAAAGTGCATCTACCAAAATTCGGCATTCATAATTGTTTTTAGGTTGCTGTTGGAAAAGCAAACCATGATTTCATCATCATGGAAGAACTCCGGTGCACTGTTGTCTTCGTTTGCCGCTTGTCAATTTATGTTCTGCACATTTTCCAGTATATTCTTACTAAATATGGGCACAACTGCTTTACATTTGTCATTAATATCCGGAAATTTTTATACGCTTATCATTGGAATCCTGTTATTTAATTATAAGGTAAGAATCGTGTCCTATCAAAGTATTTATCTAATTCGAACAACGTAGCAAGATTTTAATGCAATTTCCAATTAAGTGAGCATTAATAAAATGATACTATGATAGTTAAAGGTAAAGATAAAAACTACAGATTTAAAGAATATATATATATTTGTAGTTATTGTTACTGTTAACAATTTTCTAAATCTATATACGTTTTTAGTTTCATGCTTTCTATTTTCTATCCTACACCCTTTCAATGACGGGAGTCTACATTTACTCAATAAAGAGGACCTCAACCAGACCAATGCATAGCATGTTAACTGTTAGTTCTCAACGGAATGACGCTGCAGCCCAGCATCTCAATAACAGGTTTGTAAATGAAAGGAAACTATTCCCAATAATTACATTTTTAAACAACTAAATTCTTCTCAAAAACGATCCCTCCAAAAATTGGTAAATTGATCAGAGACATAAATATGACACATTTATACTGATACATCATCAACACGAAAATGAAACTCACACAGCGCTAGAAGTTTGTCTCACGAGTTTCCATGTCCAGCCTAAATTGGCGATCCGGCTGTTAGCGGAACTAATTAAATAGCGAGCAGTAGGCCAGTACTCTATACATACTCTATACCAGGGTTTCCCAAACTTTTTCGATAACGGAACGCTTTCCAAATCCAGAAATTTGAACGGAACACTTCCTTTTTTTAATACTATAAAAAAGGTTACAACATTTCTGATGCGGCCCACATCAGGGCGTATGGAATGTCAAGCTAATGTTTTCGCGGAACACTAGTTCAAGTGCCATGGAACCGTAGTGTTCCGCGGAACACAGTTTGGCAACCTGTGCTCTATACAGTAATACTAGTAGTACTCTATTCAGAAATAGTCTATTAATTTTCAATACTTTCGATTCATGATTCTTCTAGGAGAAGCGTAGTGCGCAAAACTTACTCCTTTGCTTTCATGTACCCGCACGCCCCTGCTGGCTTGGTAGGAGTGTTTTAAGCAGTTTTAAGATATCCATCGTTATGAGATTTTATTATTGATAAAATGGCAGAGACAAATTTCTGTTTTCATGGGATTTCGTCTTGTCTCGCATCAGATCTGCAATCCTAAGGCCCAGATACAAGAGATTATTTCTTGTCTCTACTTAGGCGGGCCGTCCTTTGGATGCGGTTTCGTGCGAACTGGGTTCGTCCGAAATCATGAGGATGATCCAATTTCATTGCAACGTACTAGAGCTCATCCAGTAGATCCGAAATCATTCGTGCGAAATTGGATGAATCATTGCGATCTGCAGACTATCCGCAACAAATGGGATTGGTTCGCAAGTTCGCACTGTTTCTGACCGATTAGCGGAGATTGGTTGTTGCACACCGACGTTGATTGAAAGAGTATATGTTATTTCAATCAACGGCACCGAGTAGAAATTAATGCTGAAAAACATTTTTATTACATTTTTACACCAATTTTGTATTTACTTGTGACAAACGTGATAACTTTTCCGTTCAGTACGGAAACTAGGAGAGAAGATTCTCACAACAAACAAAATTTTGAATTAACTACTCTCTCACTTGCATTGCTATTGTAGACAAAAATAGAATAGAAAAAAAACAAGTAGCAGGAAATTGCGATTGAGATGGCATTTTTTGTACAAAAGCATAAATTTGTGCGGATAAGGCATAATAAGGAATACAATTTATTTGAACCTTATCTATTGTATTTAAAGTAATCATTTATTTCAAGAACTTATGCGTTATCCAATTATTGAGGTGTAAAATAAATTTAAATTTTCCTCTAACGTTATAACCTAAACTGGACCCTCTATTTTCACTCAGGGTTCCAAATCGTACCGTTCTCGAATGTGTTCGGTCAAATATTTGTTCCGTACAAACTATTTGCTGCTCTTCCTCTCTACCAATGATAATGTTTTGCAACAGGATCTACTTCAATTGATTTTTGCAGCTCATTACAAATTATTTCGGCAGGCCCTAGTTTTGATACTTGGAAAAGTCCCAATAAATACGTTTACTCAATAAAGAAGCTTCATCTCAGCAACCCAATAGCTTTTTATTTTTAACTTTAATCGTCTTTTGATAAGATAATTATTTTCCAAAAGACAATCATCCATTATTGTTAACATTTGTATAATTACGCTGGATAAACGTGTTTATTTGATACATAATCCAACTACACATGACTGATCAATTCGTACGAAAAATAAGCTTCCAGATTATCCACATATGCGTAATCTGACGACAGAGTTCGTCCGATTTCGGACCAACGCAGTTCGCACAAAATCGCATCCAAAGGACGACCGGCCTTAAGGCCGGGTCACATCTATCTGATCCGACTCCGATCATACAATCGTACGAAGATCTGAGAGCAAAATGGTACTGGACTTTCAACGCCGTAGTTCACATCTTTCCGCTACCTGCCCGATCCGTCTCCGTTTTTGTATCCGATCATGTTCCGATTTTGCTGGCTATTCGATGGGTATTTGCTATCCGATTGTCGGAAGGAGAAACGGTCCGCATTTTAGGTTGCGTCAGTGATACATTTGGTTTTTAATGGACAATATCTACAGTAAGCTGTAGATATTTTTTGAACTTTGAATAAATTTTACTTAAATAATAACATGGTAACAATTGGATAATCGCAGTATTTTAATGAAACTTAAATTTACAGACCGTAAAGTTTGCACTGAAGTTCTTATTTCGTTAGAAATATTAAAAATGTTTTCCTGAAGTTCTTCAATTGTATTCATTTCTGTTGAATATACCGTATTTTTAAATGACCCCAGAAGTAAAAATTAAGCGCGTTTAGATCGGGAGATTTAGGAGACGAGTTTATAGTAGCTTCTTGACCTCTCCCAATCCAACGGCTTGGAAAGTTTTGATCAAACCGAAACGATTTAATTTTTTTTGCGGGCAAACTAGTGGTTTTAGGAAAAAACAATAAGAGATAAAAAAGTTGATAAATAACTTGTAGTAATTAAAAAAAATATGTTGATAACAGTTTAGGTGTACACTCAATATCTCAAAAATTAAACCTCAAATTAAAAAGATTCTCAAGGAGACCCCGCTCTAAAATGACTAGGAGAACACGCTGTTAAAATATTTTAACATATTAACGGAACACCCTGTATTGAATTGAATATTAAATCTTAACTGGGAAATAATAGGAGGAGGCACCAATTTAGATCTAATAAGCATAAAAGAAAATAACAAGGAAATTTTCAAATTAACATTATTCTATTTAGATTCTATAGCGGATTGAGAATTACAGCCCTGTACAGGTTGGTGGATGCGTAATAATAAAAAATTAAAATTCATCATGCAAGAGACGCGATATACTATTTTACGATCATATCACTCTGAAATAGTTTAGCTCATTATGATTATTGTCTTCCGTACTAAAAGCTCATTCACACGGTGATATTAATGTATTGTGGTAAATTCCACAACAAGGTCCCAGTGACGAGCCGTTAGTGTCTCATATCAAAATTGTTTGATATACGACACTTTGACACCGTGTGAACGAGTTTTAAGTAACAAAAAACGAAAATAAGTAACAATTTATGGTAACATTTTGCGTGAAGCAAATCAGAAACATAATATTAAACTTCAGATATTAATAAAATATTTACGAACTAAATATTACTTAATTTTCCGACTGATGGTATTCTTTTACAAACTCTGCGACATCACACACAGTGTTGAAACAAAGGCAAAGTTGTTATACATATAGCGTACAGTTTCGTTTGAATTCTACTGAGTAAGAATTTTTTTAAATCAACTTATTCACATAATTAATGCGTTTTAGGCACAGTGAATGTCAACTGCAAGACCACATTATAGTGGATAGTCCGGAAAGAATGAATGAAATTTTATCGGCATTTGGGACGATAAACAGCAACGATACATTCCCCTTGAGCCACAGCACGAACACGACATTTACATCATTCTATGGCAGTCATGATGTCCTAAGTCATCAAACGACAAGTGCGTAAAAGCATCTTGAGTGTTGCGGCTGCAAGTATCTCATTTTATTTGGCGTGAAGCTAGTAGATTGGGTGTAGAGTTTAAAGGCTCAAATAAAGCTTTTAACATGTACTCGTATGTAGGGTATCGTATGATATGTAAACGATGTTTTCCATTACAAATATTGCTCAATATCTCGCATCCATAAAAACCAAAGTGTATTTATATACTTTTATTTGTAAAGTTCCACATTTTAACGGGTATTCTTAAAATATTGTTCTTCGTGTTTATTTTATTGAGTTAGGAGGCGTCCGCATGCTAAAGACAACTTTTAAATTACCAATGAAGGTTAGTTTAATTCTACTTTTATTTCATAGTTAAAAGCTATAGCATAAGAACCAATTTTTTTCAGAGGACATTTTGTTCCCGCAAATTATAAAAAATCTATCTTTTTCGGCTTCCTTGCTTAAAGTTGAATTTTCCAAATGATCATTTAAACCCTGAACGGTTAAACACCTTCATTCCCCATCTGAGTGGGATACCGAGAATATACGTCTATATTTAAAAACAAGTAAAAACAACAAACCAACCTATCTCTTCTGCAGGACGCTCAGATCATCACCGAGTGGTCCGTATGATGACGGTTCGTTTTCTTTTTAGAACGTTTCATTTACTATGGGGGTAATTTAACATCTGCGACGGGCATCATTTTGCAACTTTTTTAAAGAAGTGGGTGCAAGCTTCCTTCAACTTATTGCGGAGAGCCATATCTTTCCTCTTATGATTTTTAAACATATCTTTTTAGTTGATTTTGTTTTCCAGCGCAAGTTATATTGTGTTTAAATACAAGGCCTGCTGTTTTGATTTTAGTTTTGAATGAGTACCGACAACAGTTACCAATAGTTTATTTACGAATTGGCTCAAATATAGTTTTAGCGGCGTTCGACTTACAGATATGTCCAGTTACTGTATTTAGGAACTAATATTATTCTTCACAAATTTTTTCTAAATGCATTCCTAGTTTCTTGACACTTCATTAGGCTGCTTACAGATGGTTAAGTATAATGGATGATGTTAATGTATTTTAAGAAACCGTAACCGTATTTGTAAACACCTACATATTTAGACACTGATCGTGCAACGAACTCGTTTTCTACTTTTTGTAACAACAATAAAACGCAATGTTTACTACCGCATACTATTTATTAACTATTAAATCTGTATTTTATACATAAATATGCATTAGACACACTATGTAAACCTGTGTTTAATTTCTAAACAACAATCAAAATCACTTGCCTCTAATAACAAAAAATAAATGTAGTTAAATAAAACCAGACCAACATATTTGTACGGTCTAAAAAAATCTTTTAAAGTCCCAAAGAAGAAATAATTACAAAAATATTTGTTGCATTGGATGTACATCTATTGAAATTAGCAAATCAATACAATTATTATTATTGTATTATCCGACAGTCTGAAACTTTTAATGTTAGCCGTAGGTCTACATATTTAATCACTCTTAGAAGGCGATCTGGAATGCGACTTGGATTTGGATCTTGATTTGGACCTAGATCGGGACCCAGATTTTGATCTGGATCTAGAGCGTGAGGGCGATTTTGATTTTGACCTAGATTTGCTACGTGATCTGCTCTTTGACCTCGAAGTACTTCTGGATTTAGATCTAGATTGGGATTTCGATCGCGATCTCGACCTCGATCTGTATAGAACAATCATATAAATAAAAAGGCACACCTTCTTAAAAGATAATAATAAGTATCGGTTATTAAGTAATAAAATATCAATTTAATAATATTTATATTAAGTTTTCGAAAACCCGTCAAGTTTTCTTTCTTTATTATCGAACACGTTATTTCGAAAATATTTCGCATACTATGCCGTCGATTATATCCAAAATATCGCATTCATTTTGAATTTTTGACATATAAGGTTTAGAAAGATTCTTGCAGCGATTTACCAAAAAAATACTTGAATTCAAAAGAAAAATGTGAAAAGATAACCCAAACGATATGTATGCGAATTTTATATGAAAATGTTCCCAAAACGGGTTGTATATGTTCATTTAGCAAAATTCTCATAAGTTTCCAGTCCTATACTTACAATCTTAACAACTGATATTTCGTGCTCGATTGTGTTCAATAACTATCATGTGCTTCTTACCTTGATTTACCACTGGATCTGCTTCTAGACCTTGATTTAGATCTAGATTGGCTTCTAGATTGTGACCTGCTGTTTGATCTTGATCCGCTTTTGGACCTTGATCTGGATCGGCTCCTAGATCCTGATCCACTTTTTGATCTAGATCCACTTTTCGATCTTGATCTACTTCGTGAGCTGAACTTACTCTTAGATCGAGATCTACTTTTTGATCTTGACCTGCTTCTCGATTTATCTGACTCCGAACCGGAGGAAATGCGACGTTTTTTATTCACTGTTGCCGAGTCACTATCGTCACTGACCGGTCGAGGTCTCTTTTCTAAAAAAACATTCAATCATAAATAAAATAGGGTTTGCTACATGATGACTTACCATTATCACTTTCATCCTCACTAGTGGAAATTGTGGCTTTTGAAACAATTCTGCTCTTCTGTTTAGCGCTAAGTCCTTCATCTGAGACTTTCCTTTGTGGTCTCCTCTTTTCTTTTCGTGCTTGCTTTCCCCTTGAAGGTTGTTCTCCGCTGCTATCAGAGTCATTGATCTCTCCGCTGCCATGCCTTTTCTTTTTCCTACCACCTGCACCTAAAAATAAAAACGTCCAGATATTTTACTTAAACGTGTTTTCCAACAAAACCTTTTTTCTTTCTGTCCCCACTTCTTCTGCGTTTTCGTCCTCGCTCTTTCTTGTCTTTCGGTGGTCTCGATTCGCCACCCACCTCTCGATTTTCTTGCCCACTTTCTGAATCTGAAACGTAAACGTCTCTGCAAAAAAGAACGAAAAGTTATTTCCATTATGGTTCAAAACCATTTCACATTTCGTACTTTCTGCCTCTTCCACCCTTTGTTTTCTTTTCGGATGGCATTTCCTGGAACAGTAGAGCGTTCTTTGTTTTCTCTTTGTATTCTTGACGTTTTTGTAGCATCTGTTCTTTGGTGAGCCGTTTTTCTTCCTCTCGTTTTTTCTGAAAGACAATATTTTGTTAAGTCTTATTTGGTGGTATTTTGTAAAGATATTGCCATTTTCATAAACAATTGGTCTGAAAACAACTTTGCAAGAACAACAGGCTGCAAAACGAAGATGTTAAACATTTTCCCAGGTTGCATGATACATTTGCCTAAAACAATTTTTAGACAGCCTCAAATATTATTCTATTATTATTAGCTCATCCTCGTCCACTCCTGAACGTAGGCCTCTTCCAATTGTCTTCAGTGTAGTCGGTCTTGGGCGGTTTGGATCCAATTTTTCCCGGCGTGTCTCTGGATGTCGTCCCTCCTCCTCGTCTGCCAATCCTTCAGTTATTCCTTGCCACCGTTTCCAGGCGTCTGGGACTTCAAAGGCTAATACCCAGCATTGAACGTTCGACAGCTTTCTGACACACTCTCAGGCGATTGGAATTTTTTATGTGTAGGTCATAGTCTCAAGCTCATACGTCATGACAGAATAGAGGTAGAATGAAGCTCTCGAACATATTCCACTTTAGATTAATTGGAGTTTTAGGATTTTTTAGGATGTGAGAAAAGTTACCATACTTTATGGGTGTTATGGTTTCTTAGATCACTCCTTATCTCTCTCTTTACTTGTTTGTCTATGACTCTGTAGTCTGGCGAATCTCTATTCACATCTCTTCGAGTCTTTTGCAGATTTATTGTGGTTGTACTAAGCTTTGATGGCGTGCCTTTTTGTAGTGAGCATACTTGTTTCACGGAGGTTTGAATGCTTTTGGTTATTTTTTTCGGATAGGATGTTAAGATCTAGATCTTTCAGCGTTTCTACAAGTTGGAGTCGTTGTTCTATGTAGAAGTGATATTTATCTCTCTTGTGCTGGAGTTCAAGTAGGGACGCTGACGATTTTTTCTGGATCATCTTTTTTCTTCCGAGCCGAGTATTTATCTATATTTTTGTTCACAAGCCAGTAGTGACTTCCTGTATTGAAACGGTCTAGAACAGATACATCCGCGCAGTGTTGTCTCAATATTGAACTAAAGTCTGTCAGACTAACCCAAACAAGTAGGTGAGAAATAATGGGGAATAATAACACATATATTGCAATAACTCAAACAGCGGAGAGGAGAGTCGACTTCAATAATCTATGACCGCGAAACTATTCCAAAACATTCGAAATTAAATTCAAAACTGATTATTTTTTATCAAGTCGTCCAAGTACAACATTTTTAAACTTAAACTTAAATTTTAAACTTAAAAGAAGCGTCTCCAAACATCCTCTTTGATAATTAAATTTGGAACCAGACAATTTATAAATCCGGCTAAACAGTCAGTCCAAAATAATTTCATAAGTTAATTTGGTTCCGGTCAAAAACATCACTATCGACAACATAATTACCATTTCCTCCAGCTGTTTCATTTTGAATGCAGTGCGTTCTTCATCTTGCTTTCTCCTAAGTAATCGTTCCTCCTCATCCACCCTTCTGGCTCTGGCCACGTGATACTGCGCTTGAGATAGCAAATCCTTACATTGTCGAGCTTCTAGTCCCGCTAAATTTACGTCGTATCGCATTTTATCCCCAAATTCTGACAAATACGTAAAATACCTAAAAAAATCATTTACATTCTGAGTATTAATATGTTAAGTTTACAACTTTCTATTTTCAGTTGTTCTTGATTTTCCCATGATAATTAACTACTTTCCTTTATACATTATTTTACGAAAAACGATTTTTTAATGCTCGGAAAACATGCAACTATTTGCAACCTACCATTAATCATCATATTTCCTAATAAATAGGGCATGATTCGATATGCGCGAGAAAAGACGACAGAAAAAAGATGATTTAAAGGATGTCCCGTAAGCACATGATCAAAAGCAAAGGGGCAAACACAGAGGGCATGATAAAAACCAAAGACATTCTTTGTCTCAAATATGACCTAACTTTCCGATACCAAACTGCTAGAACTTTTTATTTGGTAGTTGGAATCAAGTGATTTTCTTTGAGTTGGAGCATTAATTTTTGGACTCTTTGTAAAACATTGCAGCATTCATAGCTTTTGTACAAAAGGAATATTTCTGTTTCCTTGCTAATTAACAATTTGATTCACTAACTACAAATGTCGTAGTAACAAAAAGTCATTTTATAGCAAATAAATTTACAATCGTTTATTAGGCCCGGTCGTCTTTTGGAAGCGTTTTCGGCTGAATTGCGTACATCTGAAATCTCCCAAAAAGAAAAAGAGAATTTTTAACAAAATATGGCCCCAACGTCAACAAATCCACAGCAAGTTTCATTAAAATCCATCTGACCGCTTTCCGCTTTTATAATTTATGTTTTGTAAATGTAGTGAATGTCTTCAATTGCTTGTTGACAAGCAAACAGAAATATTTTTGAGCAAAAACTATAAATGTTTCAAGATTTTATAAAGAGGACAAATATATCAAAAAGTTACGGATTAGTGTACATTGATTCTAGCCACCAAATAAAAAGTTCTGGTAGTTTTTGTACCAGGGCACTCAAAAATTCCTCAATTGCCCAAAGAAAATACACTCGGTTACTTCATCAGAACATGAGTCTTACATAAGAACAGATTCACAGCAAGTTTCAACTAAAATTTTACGAAATAACATTTTTAATGAAAAATACAATGACAAATCTTAGATTGATAGTAAACTTGGCAAACCACCCAATGGCGGGCTGCCGTTATCGGCATTGCTAAACTGATTAAGTAAAATATTTAGTAAAATTTGGTGCCTTTAAAATTGTTACTTTTAAACGAGTAAAACAATTCAAATATACTTACTTTAACGAAAGTCCTAGCTCATGAACAGCTTGCAATACCGTTTGTAAAGTCGACTTTTCATCTTTCAAAATTTGAGTAGCCAACCTCTGCAGAACCAAAGCGATATTGTAAAGCAGTACTGTATCTTGAGGTGCAACCCTTCTGGCTTTTAATAGCACCATTTTTGCTTCTTTTAGTTTGCCTGCTTTATAGTTGGCCCTAGCCAAATATTGAAGAACTTCAACGTTGTTGTATTTGAAAAACTTTCTTACACAGTTTTCATACTAAAATAAGCAAAATACTATGAATAATCGATGATAAATTGACGATTGAAAATGAATTAGCAATCTTTTAAATCGATAATAGTAGCTAACTCAAAGCTCAATTGTGTTAGATATTCTCTCACTCTCACGAACAGATTTGAACTATTTACTATTACCAGGCCAAAACTACCATAAATTACCACTCATTCTAAGTGGAGATTTTAATGCTGATTTTTCTTCCGATCGAGCGCAAAATTTCAGCGCAAAAAATGTCATTTCTTGAATCAGTTACAATGAAAGACGATAAATACTCCACAACAAGCTACAATCGAGCAAGATAAAATCGAGTGATACAAAATTTGTTTCGTATTACAGTTATCAGAAACCAATTGCCATTTTGTAGGATTAGATTATGATAACGTAAATATCAGCGAGTCCACTGCAACTATTGAAGAATGTTAAATGGTGTAAACAAAATATAAATTTTAGATTCAAAATTTCACTAACAAGAAAATTGAAATTATAAAGTTGGTATTGCCATCAAGCGTTAAAAAAATTCAACATGTTATGGCTTCTATAAATAAAAATGAAGTTATCACTTCTGTCGAGCGTCCCGTGACGCACACCTTTTTTTTTAACTTGTCACAATAAGGCAAAGTTGTAATCAATACATTCACGCGTAGAAACCATCGTATCATACAAGCTGTAAATATATGAAAGCTTACCATTTGAATAGCACTAACATACTGTCTTTGCTCTACATAAATGTGTGCGATATTCAACCAAACATCGCAAAAGTCCGCTGTTGATTCTCTAACTTGTGCGAATATGTCTCTTGCTTCATTAACGGCACCCTTGTGAGCTGGAAGTATAACAATAAGGTTATACGTACATACCAGCAAGTATTCCTTAAACTTTCTCACCTAACACCGCCCCAATTCCATTAGCAGCCCATATATTCTTCGGGTCTATTTTCAGCACTTGCTTAAACATGCTTAATGATCTACTTTGGTATTTTTTTTCTTTTTCTTTGTCCTTGCTGGGTTGATGCAAAGTTTGTAACCATACGTTACCAAGAGCTATCAACGAGTACGAATCTTGAGACGTAGCCGGATTCTGAAATTGAAACATGTATTGCATTGCATTTGCCAAAACCTACTAAGAAAACCTTTAATATCCTTTCATATTTTTTTTGTCCGGGTCCCCATTCGGCTTTAGCCAAGTGAAGGTTTCCCAGTAAAGACCAAGCATCCGGGTGTTCCGAATTAATGCCCAGAGCTTCTTTAAACCAATTTGATGCTTCGTAAATGTGGCCTTTGTCTCTCGCCATGCAACCCAGTCTAAAACAAATATGGTTCCATCAAGTGGTATTGCACAATCAAATTCAATAGAAAAAAATGGAAATATATGTCACATCGTCAGCTTTTTCTGTATTGACTAGGAAGGACTTTTTCATTAAATCAAAAAGAACCTAGGCTTAAAAATTTCGAATAATGAAAACGCAAATCTACGATTTTTTAAATACATAACCGAAATGGCTGTAAGTCTAGCTTGCCAATGTTTGTATAACTAGTAAATAAATAGGTAAATATAAAAAAATTACGTAGTCAAAATATAGGAATAATATTACCGAACCTAAAAAAATTGAAAATAAATAAGCTGCGCGTAATTGATGACATTTAATTTATACTTGCCTTAAGTAACAGTCAACATAGTTCGGATGTTCTTTCAAAATGTCTTTGTAGAGCTTTTCTGATTTGTCAAATATACAGAGTGCTTCGTTTAGTCGGGCTAAATTATAGGTAATAGTAACAGATATAATATTATAATACTGTGGATCGTGTTGTGCTTCCGATTTTGCACGCTCTAAGGCCTCTTCTAAGGTTTTCTTGGCTTCTTCCAGATTTCCTGTCCTATAAAAGTACAAGATCTTACACGTGATTCAACCTAATCATATAGTTAAGTTAATGGTTTCCTTTAATATTTCTGATAATAATTCATTTGAGAAAACATATTTTAAATACATCCACTTAGTTTGGAGATTTGCATATTTTTAAACTAAAGTTTTCAAACTTGCTTGAAATAATAATAAGGCCTGCAGCTTATCCGCAAATACTAATAAAACACATATAAGGTGTGCCGTAAGCAGATGATCGAACGAGAACTGAGATGTTCTTTGGCTCAAATCAACGTTTTATCTCCGCTAATAATAAAGTTACTAATAGTGCGCACTTAATTTGGTACACCCTGTATATACTTAGCATATCTTTTATCCTGTTAGCAAATTTGCATTATTTATACGAAGTAGCAAAAAATTAGAAACTTACCTATAATGCAATGCAGCAACATTATTCAAGATCTCCGTGGGAATTTCAGCTTGAACATCTTTCTTCAAAATATTAACGGCGGTGCCATATGCATTCAACGACCCTTGCAAGTCTGATTGTTCCAAAATTTGTGCCAATTCAATCCATGCTTCGATGTCGTCTGGAAACTGTTCAGTCACTTTTCTTAAATGATTTTTCGCAATATCCCTTTTTGACTGAGAACTAGAATTTGCGTATAAGGATCCCAAAATTTTCATGGTTTCGTAGTTGCCCGGTTGAGCTTTCAAGACTTTCTCAAAGCATTGAGCAGCGTTTTCAGTATCGCCTCTGTAGATATACATTTGACCCAAGCCGAAATGTGGCAGCACAAATGCCACAGTTGCAAACTGTGTTGCTTGGTAATAATACTGAAAGGCTTGATCGTAGTCATCCTGTACGTGGAAGGCTCTAGCAAGCTGATAACAGCTTTCAGCACGCATTGCCTCATTTTCGGTGTTGTGAAAGGCATGTAAAGCCAAATGTTGTACTTTGCTATAATCTTTCTTAAAAAAGAAATGATTCGCTAAGTGATTCAAAACCATAGGATTTGACGAATCAATAGTATAAGCTTTAGATAGCATTTGGACGCCGTTTCTGATAGAATCTGGATGTTGCTTATTCAGTTTTAAAATAGCTAAACCTACTAGCGCTCCAACGCATTTGGGATCTAATTCTAATGCCCTTTCAAAAGCCAATCTGGCTTTGTCTTGGTTGTTTAACTTCATAAAGCAATGACCCATGCCTGAAAGATAAGGAATTGGAAAATGTTTTTCACATAGCAAACTTCAATAAAAATATATTACCTAGCCTAACTGCAGCAGGACAACTAGGATTGGTACGAAGTGCTTTTTTATAAAAAGCCAAAGCACCTCTAAAATCTTTTTTATTATAGGCTATGCACGCTTTTCCCAATAACGATGGTATATTATTGGGCGACTGATTTAGTACGAAATTAAACTGAGCATCCGCCTGCTCCATCTTGTCTCCCTCGAGAAGACAAAAGTATGCTCGACCCAGCAAATGATTCTGAAATAATATGTACATACTATGTGTTTCAGATAGCCCTTATTATCTTTTAAAAGTGCATGACATGTAAAATGTATACATCAGCTAAAACTTTATAAAAAATGTATACAATTTTATGTGCTATGGTTCACGAGTCATGTATTACCATCTGCAAAATTATTTTGGAAACAGAAAAAAAAATGCAGACAAAAGTAAAATTTTTAAGGTTTCTTGTTATGTTTCGAATTTCTTTTCTTGTTATCTTTCGAATGTTTATATTTCTATGAAGATTAGACAGACGAAAATTGGGGGGTTTAACATTGTTTTAAATCGTTGGAAAAAATAAAAAATACGATTTGACGCAATTCTTACATGTTTCAAAAAGTCATGGTTTGTGATTATTACTTAATTTGTAGCTTACCTGGTCGTACATAATGATTTTATCTGCGGTTGTGTACAGTAAGGTAGCTTTGGTAAAAAGGTCTCGTTTTTTATCCTTGTTTTTCTCCCTATTAGCCTGCTGCACATAATAGGCAGCCAGCATGTCAAGGGCGCGCATCTGGTCCTTTTCATAGTCACGGTATTCGACATTGGCATCTGAACGAGATGCTTCCAAGATTTTGAGAAAGTCATCGATTTGATTTTGCTTGTAGTATTCCAACTGAAATGTATATACATATCAAATCAAAACACCAGTTATTGTCATTGAAAAGTTTAGATACATTTTATGGACAAAGCGAATGACAAATAATAATATGACTAAATTACTGCGGCACCTAACATCCTAGCAAAGAATAGTAAGGCAGGTATGTATCGTCTATCGCCAGCGATTGGCCGTGATAAAAATATTACGCACAGTCGATCTATCGCCGATCTTGCGCGTGCTCAATTCGAAGTTTCTTGGCGGCGGGTTGGGTATTTTACGGAGGTGGATAATACCATCTCCGGCTACTCTCCGAGTAAATACGGTTAGGAAATTCAGTTACATGTGTTTTAGATTACACAGACACAAACACGTTTGGAGTCAAACGGGCAGAACTTCGAACACCTCTTGTAATTTAGCAACTTAATTGTATTTTATTTGCAACATTATAAAGCAGCACCAAAATATAGGAAATAGACTATTTTCATCTTTTAACAAAAATTGAGTTCTTTTACGTCAACGCATCGAAATATGTAAAAGGGGTACAGGTCAGGGTTTTGCTACATGATAAAACCAATAAGGCATTTGATGTTACATGATAAAACCAATAACACGATACCAAATAGTGATGGTGGGGAAGTCGATGCAAACGCCTTAAGTTTTATCGGTGTGAAAATAAATGCAAATTTATGAATTTGTTATTTGGTTCAAGGCAACTAACACGTGCGTCTTAACACCTCCAAAATGGAAAAGAATTGTGAGTCTCGCGGAAAGAAAACGTAAAAGTGATCCTTCTAAATATGATCGTAATATTGAGAATTGCAAAAGGGCAAGGGTAAAAAGAAAGTCTTATACGAGTTCCAAAGGTAAAAATGAATAGCAAATAGGAGGCCCCCCTTGCAGGTAATTTATAGTTTCATTTTTTAATAAAAATCGAACTGAATATTATTTTAGTTGTAAGCTAAAATGCTATGAAAAGTTCAGTGATGGTGATAAGGTTCAAATTTTTGAACGATTCTATTCTTTTACATCCAAAAACGAAGAAAATATCTACCTACAGGGTCTTACTCAGGGGTTAAACATAAAGCATCGGCGTTCTCGAGAAGGTGACAAAGACAAACCAAAATCATACAGTTTTAAGTGCTATGCATTCAAAGGATCTGGTAAAACTGAAATTTGTCTGGAAGCTTTTATGTCTTTACATGCAGTCACTTATAAGCGTGTTAGAAGAATTGAAAATCTGCAAGCGCAGGAAAAATCACCTAAATATTAAGAGATAAGAATAGAAACAACCAAGTGCTAATACTGCTAATACTGTTTCTGAAGAGATCAGTCAGTCCAGGAGCATATTCAGTCTTTTCTTGTAAAAATAAGCCATTACTCTGGACAAGAAAGAAAATATTTGGATAGCGAGTTGACCATTCGTACTAAGCACAAGCTTTTTCAACAAAAATATCCAAACATTTTCTTTTAAGACTGTCCTTTGACCGATGCCTTTTTCGTAAAAATTTAAATCTTCCGTTTGGTACCACAAGAAGTAAGAATGCGATAACATCACTCAAAGACTACAAAGAGTCAGGCAACGGTGGTATCTGCTGGGCGAACTGCCAAAAAAAGGAGGAATCGTTCTGTACCAAAGAATATATGAAATTATTCTAAAAATATGGGAACAAAGACTACCTAAAGAGTGGAACGGAAGCATATACATAAGAAAGCAAACAAGGAGCAATTTCGAAATTATAGAGGTATATCTTATCAACACAACATACAAAGTCCTAACAATAATACTGAAGCTGCTGACCCATCATATGGAAGTTATTGTCGGCGACTATCAGTGCGAATTTCGACCCGGAAATTCGATCAGACAAATATTAGAAAAAGCTGGGAGTTTCAACCGGGATCTTCACCAAACCTTCGAGGATTTCCAGCAAGCATATGACTTCATAAAAAGAAGCAGGTTATGGCTGGCAATGTTGGAGACCAAGGAAGCTAGTGGAGCTAACACTAATGTTCGTAACAAACGCATATGCATATACATTTTTCGTTACGTTACGTTGAATATTTTTCAATTTGGTACGGCGTAGCACCCATTTGCCAGATCATCCAACCAATAGAAACACTGTCGTATCGTCGTATAAACGGATACCCGTGACAGGTGCCTTACTCCTTATGTTGTTTATTATTTGTGGTGGTTCAAGGCTGGTTACAGGGTTTATGATAAAGCTATCAGCAACCTCTTTAGAAGGAGAAAATCTTGAAAAAGGGTTAATAGATTATTCGTTTGAAGTCGTTTGGATTCGGCATAACTACAGCTTTCTTTGAAAACGTTTTAAGCACTAGATAAACGATTTGCTTTCGGTAAATCTTAGGTAGATGAAGTATTTAAGTGAACTGCAGATCACCCGACTCAAAATTCCAATTCCTGTTTCGACAAAGATTGAGAAACGATGGAAATTTAGGACTTACAATATTCTACCCAAGTAGCTAGCTGTCTTCAACGACTTGAGAAAAATATTGAATTTTTAAATTACCGCTTTATGATCACAGAGACATGTGCTAGACACTGTGAATTGAACATCACATGGAGGAAAATTAGAGGCCACATGGTCTATAACAGAAAAATCACTAGAAATTCTAGTTGGAGGAGCATTCAAAGAACGAGACTTAAAGTAGAAATTAAATATATCTGGTCAACACAAACAGCAGCGTAGTCAATTAAAATATTTGCACAAAATGTACTTGCCTTTTAGGGGCCGACTAGCTATCCACGAGGTATACCAGAAGAGTGTGTTTTTATGTAGTTTTCCAAACACAGTTTCAAATATCACATAGTTTTGTACTCAAAGCGTCCCAGATAAACTAAATCAACTCAAAAAAGTTGAAAAACTTAAAGAAACTGTGGTCTAGCAAAAATAAACAATTGCAAAATAGCAATTGAATTTTAGTATTTAAAAACAAACATTATACTTACTACTGCTTAAAAAGCGGTAAAGCGTACCTGTTTTACAGTTTTCCTACTATTAGTTGGATATGGTGTGTACGATTTGTGTAAGTAGGACTTATTTTGTTAAGTTTAATGAGCATCAAAAAGTTCAAATAAAAACTTACAGCAAGATTCACCCATATCGACAATTGCGTATTTTCTTGTCGTAAAATACCCAGAACTTCATCTCCTTCTGGAAGCTGATCCGAATAAAGTTCTATCACCTAAAATAGATGAATTTTAATAAAACTTTGTTCGACGATTAGCAGCTCGGCTATGCAAGCCCTTATTTTTAAAGCTTTACCTCGTCAGTATCCCGCAAAGGAATTTCTATGGAAGCTGCCATTTCTATTTTGATGGGAACACTATGATGGAATGAATTATTTATTGATGAGTATTAATAATAATACATTACATACAAAGTACGGAAAACTGGCAAATCTCACAAATCCAACTTTCAAGAATTTACCAAATTCCTAATGTCAACCATAGAGAAAGTAAAATAAGAGAGGTGGCGGTATAATGTTAAAACTTGGAACCGCGTTGCGCTACATCCGGCTGACCGTCAGTAACGGGAAGCTTTGACGGTAAAAACAGGTATCTAGATTATCGGCTAGTTAGAAGCGGGAATTTTAAATTTTTAAAGGTACAAAATACTTCGGGTACACAAAATTCGGTGTCTACACATGTTCTCTCGGTTATTAATGGTAATAGAAAATGTGCTGTTTACTCAACAGGGTGCAAACAAATTCCTATTTCCATTAATAATGAACCGAGACTACAATGTGTAAGGACATCGAAATTGTAACACTCAGAACACAATTTTGATCCAGATTTAAGGGGATCCATGACAGGGAATGAAATAATATATACCTAGATCAAAATAAAAT